GCCGGCCCCCGCGGCTCGGCGTCCAGGTCCAGCCCGGCTCGGGCCGGCCCCCGGCTCAGCTCCAGCCCGGCCCTGGCTGAGCGGCTCCAGGCCAGACCCAAGCCCCACGACCCCAGCTGGAGCTCCGGCCGGAGTGGGGCCCGATTCCTGGGGGCGGGGCTTGCGGCAAGCCACGCCCCCAGGAATTGGGCCCCGCTCTTGCTAAAGCCGGCCCTGCCTGCCAACCTTAAACATATTCTCACCAGCAACCACACACTGCACCATAGTAACTCAAACTCAGGAACCAATCCATGAAACAAACCCCGATGCCAACTCTGCCCCCATATCTACACCAGCGACACCATCACAGGACCTAACCAGATCAGCCACAACATCACCAGTTCATTCACCTGCATGTCCACCAGTGTTATATATGCCATCATGTGCCAGCAATGCCCTTCTGCTATATACATTGGCCAAACTGGACAGTCCCCATGTAAAAGGATAAATGGACATAAGTCAGATATTAGGAATGGCAGTATACAAAAACCTGTAGGAGAACACTTCAATCTCCCTGGACACACAATAGCAGATTTAAAGGTAGCCATCCTGCAGCAAAAAAAAAGCTTCAGGACCAGACTTCAAAGAGAAACTGCTGAGCTTCAGTTCATTTGCAAATTTGACACCATCAGTTCAGGATTAAAGAAAGACTGCAAATGGCTAGCCAACTACAAAAGCAGTTTCTCCTCCCTTAGTGTACACACCTCAACTGCTAGAAGAGGGCCTCATCCTCCCTGATTGAACTGACCTCGTTATCTCTAGACTGATTCTGGCCTGCATATTTATACCTGCCTCTGGAAACTTCCACTACATGCATCTGACGAAGTGGGCATTCACCCACGAAAGCTTATGCTCCAATATGTCCGTTAGTCTATAAGGTGCCACAGGATTCTTTGTCGCGTTTTACAGATCCAGACTAACACAGCTACCCCTCTGAGACTTACAGAAAGGTTGTAATTTGCTGGTTATAATTATGCTGTCTGTATGTGTGTATCATTTTTGTATTTGAAGTTATGAATATTTGCTATGTACTTGTATCTCAATGTGTTTAATTCTAAGTAGCCTCAGTGAAGCATTTGGTCAGCTTCTTGAGAAAGGACTATTCTCAGTAAGTGCCCAATCAAGAAACAACTGTCAATGGATTTTGGAAAATGCCAATCCACATCTGAGCTTTCCTAGGAACATTCAAACTAACATGTAAACAATGACGCAGGCCTGCAAAAAGCTGAATCATTCATGGACATATGACTTGCCCAGGTGGCTACAAACTCCATCTTGTTGCTGTGATTTTGCACAGAAGAACAAAGGGCTTTCCGCCCACAAGAGGGAGAATATAAAAGGCCCTGGAAGCCTCTCCATTTTGTCTTCAGCTGGCTCAAGAGATGGTCTCTCCATCCCAAAGAGATGCCTGAAAGAAACTAGAACAAAGGACTGTAACTATGGGGGTGTGAGTGATTGCTGGACCCAGGCCATAAGCCACAATGTTGGTCTGAAAAGGACTGGGTCCAGACTAGGAAGGAATCTAGTCTGTGAAAGAAGATTATTGGGACATCTCTGAGGGCGAGATTTACCTGTTATCAGTTTCCTACTGTATTAGGCTTAGACTTGCTTGGTAACTTAGTTTGTTCTGTCTGTTATTATTGGAACCACTTAAATCCTACTTGTTATACTTAATAAAATCACTTTTGTTTATTAATTAACCAGAGTAAGTAATTAATACCTGGGGGAGCAAACAGCTGTGCATCTCTCTCTATCAGTGTTATAGAGGGCAGACAATTTATGAGTTTACCCTGTATAAGCTTTATACAGAGTAAAACGGATTTATTTGGGGTTTGGACCCCATTGGGAATTGGGTGTGTCTGGGTGCTGGAGACAGGAGTACATGCTAAGCTATTTTCAGTTAAGTTTACAGCTTCGGGGACGTGGTTCAGACCCTGGATCTGTGTTGCAGCAGGTTAGCATATCTGGCTCAACAAGAGAGGGTTCTGAAGTCCCAAGCTGGCAGGAAAACGGGCTCTGAGGTAGTCTCAGCCAGAGGCGGCTCTATGTATTTTGCCGCCCCAAGCACGGCAGTCAGGCAGCCTTCAGTGGCATGCCTCAGGGAGGTCCGCCGGTCCCACGGCTTCAGCATCCCCGCCGCCAAAGCCGTGGGACCGGCGGACCTCCCACAGGCATGCCGCCAAAGGCTGCCTGACTGCCGCCCTCACAGCGACAGGCAGGCCGCCCTCCCCCCCCGCACGGCTTGCTGCCCCAGGCATGCGCTTGGTGCGCTGGTGCCTGGAGCCGCCCCTGGTCTCAGCACATCAGGTGACAGTCCCCAGGGGGTCTCTGTGACCAAGCCCATTGCACCCAGTTCTAAGGAACTGGCTGGGTCGGTTGGTGCTGCTTTGTGGGCAACCAGCCGTGACACCCCAAGCGTAAAAGGGTCGCTTTCATTCTTTCACACACACGGGACAACTTTCGCACATGCTCACTCTGCTGCTGGTGAATTCGATGAGAAGACGTTGCTCGCAAAGCCTTTCTTTAAACTGTCTCCTCATGACCCCAGATCCCACCCTGAGCAGTGAGTTCATCCTGCTCTGGCCTTTTCAAAAATTCCTCCAGAACAAAACAGACCTAAACCACCCCCACTCCCATCACAGAAAATCTGAGCGCAGCCTAGATGCTGGAGTGACCGCCAGCCCTTCCGTGAGGCAGAGAGAAGAGACCCAGAAAGAAAACGAGATGGGAGAGGGAATAATCTCCTCCTACCTTTGGTCCATCAGTAGAGATGCAACTGGAAGGCAGTGAGATAATGTGATCAGATACGTGGACACATTTCCTCATGGACAGAGAGAGAGAGATGAAAACTGAGTGACACGGCCCCAATTCATCATCACACTGATGCAGAGCCCCGTCCCCATGGCCCAGCCCAGTGCTCTCCTCCACCAGCCCCACTGACTGCCCCTGTGAGCCCTGACCCCAAGTCTCACAATTTTAGTTCTGGTCTCACAGCATTTGATGTTCTACGTAAAGCCCCAGCTCTCATAGTCAGGGGAGTTAGTGAGAAACCCGGCTTCCATTAAAAAAAAAGTAAATTTATAACCCTCGTGTTTGGGGAGAAAAGCCTGAAAGTGTGATTTGAGACACCCTCTCAAAGATCAAATCCCCCATGCAAATATAAAGACCCCCACACTGGTGACTTATTAGAAATCCCATGAGTTTATGCCAATGTTGAGATTGTTGGGGTGTGTCATAAACATACAGCTAAGGGTAGCATAAAATCCCTCTTTACCCTGTAAAAGGTCAATTCATCTTTTACCTGTAAAGGGTTAAGAAGCTCAGATAACCTGGATGGCACCTGACCAAAAGGACCAATAAGGGGAGAAGATACTTTCAAATCTGTGGGGGAAGGTTTCTGTCTGTGTCTCTCAGAGTCAGCAAAGGAACCAGGGCAGGGCAAATACATCTCCCTAAGCCATATCTGGACTAAGAACCTAGTATTGCAGAAATAGTAAGTAATAGCAAAAAAATGTGTTAGATTATCTTTTGTTTTAGCTTGTGAATTTTCCCTTTGCTAAGAGGGAGGTTTATCCGTGTTTTTGTAACCTTAAAGTTTTACCTAAAGGGGAAATCCTCTGTGTTTTTAATCTGATTGCCCTGCAAAGTTATCTTCCATCCTGATTTTACAGAGGTGCTTCTTTTACTTTTTCTTTCTTTATAATAAAGTCTGGGTTTTTTTTAATCTGATTGGGTTTTAGTGTCCTAAAACCCAAGGGTCTGGTCTGTGCTCACCTTGTTACCTATCTGGTTGGTAGAGTATTCTCAAGCCTCCCCAGAAAAGGGGGTGAAGGGCTTGGGGGGATATTTTGGGGAAACAGGAACTCTTAGTGGTCCTTTTCCTGAATCTTTGTCTAACTCACTTGGTGGTGGTAGAATACTGTTCAAGGACAAGGTGTAATTTTTGCCTTGGGAAAGTTTTTAACCTAAGCTGGTAAAAATAAGCTTAGGGAGTCTTTCATGCAGGTCCCCACATCTGTACCCCAGAGTTTAGAATGGGGAAGGAACCCTGACATGGTGACTCAAATGCTGTGAAAGCTTGGGGCTGGGGACGCTGTGTGAGGAACGGTTGGCAGGGCAGAGCTGTGTCCAGAGCTCTATTTCCAGAGTTGTTAGGTCCTGATTCAGGAAAGCACTTACACACAGGCACAGGCGTAAGGGCCCTTCCTGACTAGGGGATGCCTTCCTGAACTGCAGCCTTAGTTACCTGCTTGTCGATATTCCATCCAGACACACACCTCTGGCTGAGTACTAGACTATAACCATCTGTGGGGCAGGGACTGTCCCCGTCATTACTGATCTGTGCAGCAGCTGGAGCAGTGGGCTCCTGATCCCTGACTAGGGCTGCAGGGCACTACAGTAACATACCTAATAAATAATGTACAGCACCTAGCACAGTGGGGCTCTAATCTCTGACTGGGACTCCACGGTGCTACTGTAATAGAAATAATTAATCACAATGATAATCCCTTTCATCATCTCTTTGATCTTTCTCTCCAGCCAGCCTCCCAAAAACACAATTTCACTGTGTCTTTCATCATCTCTCCCCCCTTCCCAGACACACTGGGTACAGGGGATCGAAGGGATTGTCTCTGCCACGTCTGTCTGTACATTTGCTAACACTGCTTGGCCTCACTGTCATACCCACCTTTCTTTCCCAGAAGATAAAGTACCACAGCCAGAACCACAACAGCAGGGATTGTAATTCCCAACGGGAGCTTTAGATCCAGCCCTAGGAAAGAACTTCGATGTGAATGGCCTCTCCAAGCAGCCACCGGCGAGTCCCCACTGGCTGGAGCTGGCTGATGTTGTGTATTTGGTTGTCAGGGTAATAGACCCTTGTGTTGCTATGGCAAATGAGTTAGATTATTAGGGAATAGCCCAGCCAGCTCTGAGTGTGGAAATAAATGGCTGCTACAAGGTTTACAGCTCTCTGTGTCTCCAGTGATTTCTTCCTAAAACTGTTGCCCCCAAGGATATAACAGCTGAGTTCTATGGAAAGTGACCCTTCGTGTCGCCATGAGGGGTCGGAGGAACAGGGAATGGCCCAGGTTTGCTCAGGCTGCACTGGTACTCGGTGCAAAGGCTTCACAAGAGCCAGCGACAGACGCAGCAGCCCAGACCTTATCGCCCCCCTCCAGTGTAGCGGCAGTTCACTGTGGAGATGACCCTGTCCCGGGCAGAGGGGCAGCATGAGGCCTTGGCACCAGCTCTGTGCTCAGAAGAGGGTAGAAGTGGGTCATAAGCGATGCCGTGGGGCTCTGCTGCCCCTCTGCCCTGGGGGAATTGCACCAGCAGAGACCAGCCCATCCAGGGTGACTATGCTGCAGGCCAAGGAGTTACCCACCCTGGACTTTATGCCCTGATGTCAGAGCTGGGGGCACAGAGCTCTGGGCTCTGGGCTCTGATAATGAGGGTGTGACAGAGCAATAGCCCGTTACCTGTGCGAGTCGGTTCCTCCCCTCCTCCGCTGCTGTTCGTGCTGCCTATGGGACAAGGGCAAAGAGAATCGCACCGTGTGGGAGAGACGTCTGCAGGCTCCACAGAAACGTGCCTCCCAGCGACAAACAGAGCGGTTCTACCAGCCACTGGGGCCAGATCCCCGCGGGTGTAAATCAGCATCACCCTGCTGGAGTCCATGGGCCAGATCCCCAGTGGGTATGGACTGGCGTCCCTCCACTGCAGTCCATAGGGCTCTGCCATTTTACACCAGCCGAGGAGCCGGTCCCTGGACTCTCTCTCTTGCTCTGAGTTTCACACTGAGTTTCCCCACTGCAGACTCAGCGAGGACGTCACTGTTCATTTAACAAACCATCATTTCACTGATCCCTGGCACCTGGTACTGAGGTCGAAGCTCCGCGGGGGTGAAAATGCCCCAAGAAGCCCTGAGCCAAGATTTCCCTGCTCCCCAATCAGACGCGCTTCTCTGTGGAGCACCATCGGGGACCTGAATGTCCTGGAATGTCCCTGGAATGTCTGAATGTCCCTTCCCCCTTCAGACAGCCTGGGGCTCGCCTCATGGGCAGAGCGGGTTGTGTGATGAGGCTGTGTGCATGGGCGACATTCCCCAGCCACCGCTGTGCCTAGGCCCTGCTCACACCCAGTGCTGAGGGTTCAGGGGAGTTAAGTGCTGCCTGGCCCTGGGGCTGGCCCCTCTGCACAGGCTGGGTTTAACTGCAGAGAGCTGGGTCTCCCCCTGAGGTAACTGCTGCAGGCAGAGGAGTTTCCCCAGGGATGAGTTTGACCCAAAGTCTCTATGCAGCAAGGGGAGAGCTGGGGGGATAGAGATGGGCTCAGATCCCCGGGGTCTTGCCCAAGAGCCGTCTGTGAGCTGTGGGGTCTGACTCCTCTCCACTGCTGCTCGCCTAGTCTGTGCAATGGGGACAAGGAGAATCTGGGCTTGTCAGTGCCTCCAGGTGACACTCAGTGTGTGAGAAACATGGCTGCGATGGCTGAGGCCCAGCCCCCTACACCAGTCAAATGGGACATGACTGTTCCTTGAATGGAAACCTCCCCAAAGGGGCTCATCCTGGCTCCTTCAGACATGCCAGGTGTCACACGCTTCATGGGCATTTGGCAGCCCTGTCACCCTTTGCAGAATTGTGGGGGGGATCATGGACTCCCCACAAAGTTTCCTGGAGCCTGAGGGTGGCACTCAGCTACGAGCCAGGAGACCTTGTGCTCTAGGCCCAGCTCTTCCACTGAGTGTTAGTAACTTCTCTGTGCTCTTCACAGCCCCTAGTACTAGCTGAGAGCTCATGGGCCCTACGGTATAGGTGACACCATCATTCACCCCTTGTATAGACAAGGAAGGGTTGCACAAGGTCACTTGAGCAGACTGGGAATAGGGCAGAGGGCTCTAAAATGGCAAACCCCATTCTCATCCACTTTGTCTCACTGCCTTTCACAGGGAATGTGCCAGATTTATATGCTTGGCTACGCTGCCTCTAACTCTATAACCAGTATCTGCTCACAGAGCCATCCAACCTCCCACTACTGTCTCCATATAGGGGCTGGTACATACAGAGAATAAAAATCTTACTTCTTCTGCCCATCACCATTGTTGCACAGCTATCTGTCTGTGGATTCTCTCTCTACCATTGCATGGACAATTGTACTTACTCTGCTCATCACCCCCATGACCAGTGACACTGAGGTACTTGGCAGGGCTGAGCTGGGATCTGTTCACCCAGTTGTTGCTCTCCTTGATCTCGTACCCGCAGGAGTAATTCCCAGAGCTGCCCCTGGACACCGCATGGAGATAGCTGTAGGTGATCTTCTCCTCCAAGCCCCTCTGGGACGAAATCTCCTCCCCGTCCTTGCAGAAGATGATGCGGGTGGCTGGGGCCCGGGAGAACACAGAGCACTGGAGCAGCACGGCGTCCCCCTCCCGGGGGAATGTCTGTTTCAGATAGAAGATTGGGGCAGGGAGAGCTCCTGGGAAGGGGAATGGATGAAAGCCATCAATAGGGCTGTCAGTGGTGCCTGTTTCCAGAGGAGCCCAGGGAGCAGTTTGCCAAAGTAATTTGGTTGCCGTGGAAGCAGATTGCAGGTGGTAGGTGGTTCAAGGCTGTGGAGGAGTTATAGGATATAGCCCCGGGGAGCTGAGGATGTTCCACATGGGAATTGTGGGAGTCTGGAGAGTTTGGCCTCTCTTCCCACAATCCCCCTGTGCACCTGCGAGGTCACTGTGCAATCACCCACAATTCCCTGGAGCCATGCCAGGGAACCCTGGAAAGGCAAGACTGCTAATGTAACTGAGCTCAGGAAGGGGTAATGGGGCCCTTGCTGAGAGGGGTATGAACGATATATGGGATGCACGGCTCTGTGCGAGTGACAGCCAGGATAGCCCATGTGCATGGAGCACAGCGCAGGTCGCTCCGTAGGATTGACACCCCTCCGTGCATAATGTCTCTGGAGCAGGCTCCTATTTCAGCACAGCTGGGTACCGGGGGGATAATGTCAGATCTGAGACTGTCAGCTCTTCGGGGGCAGGGTCCAGAGCTTCACATAGGGGGGTGCAGAAACTGGTGCGATGGGGCCCTGATCCCTGAGAGGGGCGTCTGGCGGCCACAGTAATAATAATAATTAATAATAATCTTCTGTAATTGGAAGCCTTTTCTATCAATGCAAACCCATTCTGGCATGATAGATAAATAGAGGGGTGAGTGTGTCTGGGGACAGACAGACAGACAGACTCACCGGGAGCTGAGCAGGTCTCCTGGCTGCTGGGACTCAGCGCTGGGAACAGAAAGGTGCCATGTGGTTAGTGCTGGAGATAAAATCTCCCCCTTGTCTGAGGTCCCTCTTCAGGGACAAAAACTGCCTTTAATAGACATGGAAATAATTTCCTGATTTGTGTGTTGCTGAAGAAGCAAACCGGGCAGGACATTAGATCTGGGGCATGGCAGGTTCCTCACGCACACAGACATTGGCTGAGCTGAGAACCACCTTTCCCTTTAGCTCTCCATAGGGCCAGGTCCTCAGCTGGTGTAAACCGGCATTGACACTTGTGGAGCTACACTGATTTACACCAGCTGGGGATGTGCCCCCATTGACTCCAGTGGAGGGACACCCATTCATAGCAGCTGGGGATCTGGCCCAGTAACTCTCACACTAAGGGCTGGTCTACACTGGGGATGGGGGGCGTGGATCGATCTAAGATACACAAATTCAGCTCTGAGAATAGCGTAGCTGAAGTTGACGTATCTTAGATCGATTTAAAATTACTTACTTCGCGTTCTCGCAGCGCGGGATCGACAGCCGCGGCTCCCCTGTCGACTTTGCTTCCGCCTCTCTCGGAGCTGGAGTTCAGCAGTCGACAGGAGAGTGATCGGGGATCCATTTATCGCGTCTACACTACACATGATAAATCGATCCCCAATAGATCAATCGCTATCCACCGATCCGGCGGGTAGTGTAGACGTACCCTCAGTGTTTACACTGGCTCCCATTTCTCTCCGACTAAGGAGGATTTGCCGGCAGTCTGGGCCCGGGGCTGCTCTCAGTTCTCTTTCCTCCCAACCTGCTACAAATTAGCACAGGATTCCTGCATACTCACCAGGCAGGAAGAGGCACAGAGACAGGATCATCAAGGTGGTGTGGGGAACCAATCAAGATGGAAACAACCCAGCTGCATCTGTCCCTGACAGGGTCAGGAGGGGACAATCTGCAATCAATCCCTGCTCCCACCTGTGCCCTCTGCCCTTTCTGACTTCAGCAGAAGGGGATCTCCAGCTGCTGTCTCTGCTCTGATCTGCCCCCGTCTGCTCCCCCAAGTTGGATGCTCCAGCCAGCCCGTCTCCCTGCTCCTAGGCCTCCAGGGGTCTGTAGGACTAGGCAGTAGAAATGCTGCAGCCTCTCTCTGACCTGTTCTGTCTCCTCCTCGGGTCTGATATTCGTCACCGCTCCCCATTTCCTGCCCTGCGCCGCCCCCTTCCCCACCTCGACCGCAGCATCTCTATTTAGGGCTGGAAGATTGAGAGCCGAAGGGGCCTGGTTTGCTTGTTTGAGTCTAAAAACATCATTAAGGAAACACTCCCCATCCCCTCTCACTGCCTGGGGACTGAGACAGCCCCCTGGTTAAAGGCACAGCTGGGCCAGGGTGAAAGGTCACTGGGTGATTGGGGGCCTGGGATGTTGGATGAACCTGAACCTTTTGCCTCCACCCTAGTCTCCAGTCCCTGGTGGGAAGGACTCAGTTCCCCCAGGGGGAAATTCCCTCTGGGGTTACGGGGAACATAGAAGGGTCTGGGCCTCATTTTTAACAGTGAGGATAATTATATTTACCACAGGCTTTGGTGGATTCTCCATCATTGGCAGTTTTTAAATCAAGGGTGGATGTTTTTCTCCAAGAGAAGCTCTAGTTGAAAGAGGAACGATTTGGGGGCAGTTCTCTGGCCTGTGTAATACAGGAGGCATAGGCGCCGACTCCGTGGGTGCTCTGGGGCTGGGTGGAGAAAAATCAGCAGGTGCTTGGCTGCCTGTGGGTGCTGATCTCCCCCCTCTTCCTCCCTCCCCACAGCTCCTCTCGCCTGCCTGCAGCCCCACGGATCAACTCCTCCCCCTCCCTCACAGGCCTCCCACCCGCCACGAACAACTAGGGGAGGAGCGGGGATGGGGTGTGCTTGTGGGAGGAGGCAGAAAGAGGTGAGGAAGGGGCAGGGGCTTGAGGGAAGGGGTGGAGTGGGGGAAGAGCCTGGGCGGGGATGGGGTTGAGCCACCCCCGGGCTAGAGGGGAAGTCAGCACCTATGACAGGAGGTCAGACTAGATGATCACAGTGGTCCCTTCTGGCCTTAGAATCTCTGAATAAACCTGACAAAGGCTCTGATTCCACAATAAGAGTGTCCCCGTGGGAGTTACACCAGCAAAGCTAGAACAGTTTGCCCCTCACAATCATTAATGGGTTTTATCCTCACACACTCCTTAGGCATAGGGCAGCTCATCCTCACTACACAGATGGGGAAATTGAGGCACAGAGAGAGACTGAGTGACTGATCCCAGTCGACCTGAATTCGATGGGTTAGTTGTTATGGCTCGCCACTGATCGCATCCAACCAGAAGATTTATAGGTTCTTATCCAATTCAGACTACAGAGTTCAAGAACTCAGAGTTCTATATCAGGAGAGGACTCGTGGGGTGCTTGGCAAGAGCACATACACTGAGGACAATACTAAATTGATAAAACCTTTATTGAAATTAACATAAAAATAAGACATGCAATGAAACTTATAACTGCAAAACAGTAAAAGCATTCCAAAATTCCTGGTGGTAACATTTGTATTATAAGTACCTTAACCTAACATACTCACACCCTTCCTTGAGGACCCGGTAATAGGAGATGAAGGACCAGTCTCACTCCTGGCATGCCCGATTACGCGATGGTGGTGGCTTTCCCAATAGTTAGGAATGTTGAGTAGTTATACTATACTGCACAAGCTGAGCTGATAGTGTAATAGAAGATAGATAGATTGATAGATAGATAGTCTCTAGAGTACAGGAGAACTGGAAAAAGCACTCCCAGAAACTGAAGCTTCAGGAGTTAGAAGAACCTAGAACTGAAAAGCTCTCTTACAAGGTATTTTATAGGATCCTGACCTATGTAATTCAGGCCCAACCTACTATACCCAAATCTTATTTCTGTACCCTAAGAAATTTAAGGGTACCCTTCTCCTATAAATAAAGATATACCTATCTCATAGAACTGGAAGGGACCTTGAAGATCATTGAGTCCAGTCCCCTGCCTTCACTAGGAGGACCAAGTACTGATTTTTGCCTCAGATCCCTAAATGGCCCCCTCAAGGATTGAACTCACAATTTTGGATTTAGTAGGCCAATGCTGAAACCACTGATCTATGACACTTACTTTCTAAGTGTATTAATAAGAATTATCTCACTCCAAAACTGCCAATTTAGGCTCTCTTGATGACCTCCAAGTTGTGGTGTACCTTGTGGTTACCAACCTGTTGTAGATGCTAGATAAACCTGTGATGTGATGTGGATAGTTCTTCCCTTTGGTTCCCCAAAGTTCAGGGACCATTGTTATCTGTGCCAAAGTTTGCCAGCTTTCATGCTGACATATTCATAACTGAATATACTTTTTGCTATAGAGCAGATCTTACCGGATTTACAGGTCGGTAGGCTGCTTGCATTTCAGCATTTCTGCAAAACTTATTATTAGGAAACACATGCCTCAACACATCCTAAATTCCAAGGAATTAACACTGATAAAATATAAGAATAAAATGGATTAATTTCAGAAAAAGAAACATATTCATTGATACTACTGGCTGGATTAGTAGGATACAATCGCTAGCAAAATAATCTTATGGGCTACAGCACACAGGAGTCCACAGCTGAGTCAGGGACTGAGCCCAGGGTTCTTGAGCACCAGACCACTGCTCTGGCCATTAGAGCATCCTACTTTCCCCAAGCCCTCCTAAGAGCCTGGGTGACAATGACCAACTGGGTACCTGCCTGGAAGGCCAATGACCCTGGGCTATTTCAGCCAAAGTGGGGAAGTGCCTGGATGGGAATAGACTGGGAATCGGGAAAAATGTCAGAGACACAAGCTGGGAAATCTGCTGCAGGGGATTTAGTTGATCTCACAGAGAGTCCCACCCCATATTGCTGTGGGCTAGATCCTGCCTCCCTTCCCCAAACCCCAGGGCAGAATTAGACCTGTCTCCCCAGCCCTGCAGGGATTATTGATGGAACCAGACACTGCTGGTCTAGAGGGAACAGCTGCTGCTCAGAAGAGGGAATGGGGAGGAAAGTCTGTGCTGTGAGCATGGCCCCTGCTCAGTGAGTCTCTGCACACAGTCTGGCTGCTCTGTGCAGCTGTGCAGGGACCGAACCACAGCATGAACCGACAGGGCCCTAAGCGTCTGTAGAGTCTCCTGTGCAGATACCTCTTCCCCCACCCAGCAGTGAGCTCTCCCCAGCCTGACCCCAAGCTAGCAGTCCAGCAAAGCTGGGATGTGTCACACGCTGTGATGTGGGATTGAATAACCCGCTCACACAAATTTATTTTTGTTCTCACACATTAACCTGCCTCCTTCTCTCTCTCGCTCCATTTAATCTGCTCTCATGAGGTTTCCAGGGGAGTTTATTTTCATAGTTGTGCATTTAAAGGCCAGAAGGAACCAATGGGACCATCTAGTCAGAACGTCTGCACTGCCCAGGCCAGAGATCCCTGCATTGAGCTGCTAACTTCTGGCTGAGCATGAGCCTGTATGGTAGAAAAAGGTATCCCCTCTCGGTTCAAAGACTCCAAACTGGCTCACATTTCTAAACACTAGGATAGCTGTGGCTAATTAGTGAAAGGGGACCAAGGATAAGGGAGATGCTGCACTGGGACAGAGCAACTGGAGATAGGCCCTGAGGTTTAGCTCTAGCTGCAGGTCCTAAACTAACCTTCCACAGAGTTTGGGGTGTGGAGTTGGGGTTCTGGTTTGGATCTATGATAGAGACAGCCCAAGGCCACACGGTTAGGATCTAAGTTCCATCAAAGCCTAGGTGTGGGGACTCTCCTTCTGAGACCAAAAGCGCAGTAGGTACCAGAAAGGATTATTCACAGTCTGACTGAGGAGGGAAAGAAGATGCTCTATTGGGGTGGTTGGGCCACCTAGTGGTGAATGGGGAAGAGGTGGAGCTGTTGGTCTTGGCAGAGATTTCAAGAAGCTGAATGGAGCATCCAAATCTGGTGAGTACCCAAGACCTAACACTGACAGACTGACTGAGCAGCTAGCCCAGACCACAGACATACCCAGGATAGACTTTAGCAAAGTATGCAATGACGTTTAATGATCTAAGCAAGAGTATAACCCATGGCAAGTTGTCTTGGCAGGGATGGGATTGTATCATACCCGACTGTACAGCACCATGTGCACCAGTGGCACTGAGGAAACAACACATTCACAGTGACAACTACACCAGGGTTAGCTGACAATTTTACATTAAGACCATGTTCAATAGAAAACTACATTTTTGACTAAATGTTTTGTTTATTTTATGTATTTATTTATTTATTTGTGGAGTCTCTGATTTCTTTGAACATTTTTGATTTTTTGCTGGAAAATCAAAAGACCCAAAAATTTTTCTTTTCTTTTTTTGTAAGTTTTCAGCATTTTTTTTTCCATTTTCAGTTGCCAAAACCTGATTCCCCCCACCCCCCAACCCACTTTTCAGGTTATCAGTTTTTCAATGAAACATTAAAATTTTATTGCTGAAAATGTCAATAGAAATTCATGTAAATTTACACAGGGAAAAAATTCCATGTTCTACCCACCCAGAGTGCACCATCCTCACTCTTCGCTGGTGGAATCTGCCAATGCTCCATTCTGCCCTGTGCCCACAAGATTCCCCCTTGATCTCTTACAGGTTAATGCACGTTAGCCTGAAGGACTGTGTGAGGAGTGTGGGACTGTTAGTAACCATAGAATCATAGAAATGTCAGGCTGGAAGGGACCTCATGAAATCATCAGGTCCAGCCTAGGAGTGACCTGTGTGGGTTCCCGCTACATAGGCCCTCCTACTCTGACAACATACCATTGATAACTGCACTTTGAGTACTAAACCAGTTATCGTCCAGGTGTTTACCAACTAATAGTTTAATCATTTGTTCCAGCATCTTTCCAGATATCAAAGTTAAGTTGGCTTGTCTATTATTCCTGGGGCCTGTTTGTTCCCTTTCCCAAAGGAAGGTGCTATGTTTTCCCTCCTCCAGGTGCAGAATGAAAAGAAGCACCTCTGCCAATTGCTTTTGGTATGTTTTGAACCCAGAAATGTGGAACACAACAGATTAGCCATGCAGCGCCTTACCCACTTGGTCACTTTATCAGTCAAAATGGCCTCTTTGCCACCAGCTGTCCCTTGGTCAGCCAACACTAGACACTCAATCCAGACTAGAGATGACATAGTAGAGGAGGCCTGGAAGCAGTTCAGTGGTGTAGAGGTTTTGTACATCAGTCACATTCTTATAACCCAGGTTTGAGTCCTAGCTGGCATAGGAAGTGCTGTGGCACCCAATTTGTGGGGAGCGTCTCTTCTTTTGGGGACTGGGTGGAAGATGCCTGGGAGAATGAACGAGTAGGTGCCTCCACTAAAAGAAGAATGTATGGCCAACAACAAAAATATTCAAACCCAC